TGTCAGTTAGAATTTTATGTGACCTGATATGTTGAAGAATACAAAAATCTCACTTTGGAAAATTTGAAAAATTAAATGACTTATATTGTGTGGTTCCACTTCTAATTATATTAATGATAAAACCCTCACACCTTGATAAGATAAAAATTGGAAAACAATATCAACGTGATTAGTAATAGACCAGGAGTTCGTCTCTATGAAACCCTTGACACATTGCTCAAAATATTTCTCTCTTGTTTTCTATACATGACTATTTAATATTCCAATATACAATTAGTAATTTACTTTATCACATAATAAATTGATAAATTCAGATTTTTTTTTCAATGACACCTCACCACTTGCACTTGCTCTAGGGTAATGGAAACGATTTTTGCCTTAAGATTATATGAACACGATCATCATATAGCGCGTACATTTAAGCCTCCAGCTTTAGTTACAGTGAGTGAGACACATTACCATCAAACATGTGCAATGGTTATTGAGCATTAAAGAATTTTCATTATTTTAACGACCCCCAAAATAGTAAATAAATTGTACTGACAGAAAAAATTAATAATAACTTAATGCACACACAAGTAGGCAGAACTTGAGTCACTTAATACTACAGTTTAAAGGTATTTTTATTTATTTATAAGTGAGAGATCATAGGTTCGATTCGCGTCACACATTACCATCAAACATGTGCAATGGTTATTGAGCATTAAAGAATTTTCATTATTTTAACTACCCCAAAAATATTAAATAAATTGTACTGACCGAAAACATTAATAATAAATTAATGCACACACAAGTAGGCAGAACTTGAGCCACTTAATACTACAGTTTAGTGGTATTTTTCTTTATTTGTAAGTGAGAGATTTTAGGTTCGATTCTCATCAAAGACAAGTTTGAACCACATTATTGCTCTCACATTGTGAGGCTAAGCCTATTCCTCCTCTTTAGTGTAGATAATATCATTTGTTCAAAAGTAGGCAGAACTTGAAAGCAAAATGCCCGACATTTGAGTGATTAATAATATGCATGAGACAAGATAAGAGGAAAGTTGCATATTTGGGTCTATTTGATGAGCTGGTTGTGATAAGTTGTGACTAATTAAAATAGACTTGAGTTCAATTCTTATTTGTTGTGTCAATGTGAGATGAACAAGACTGAATATGATAGGTTATGACTTCAAAATAGAATGAATTATCTAACATATCTTTATGTATATGTTACAAGTCTTATCTTACTTGCCTCTAAAACCAAATTCCATACAATCTACCAAACGGTTAAGAGTTTTGGTATTAGCTTCAAAAAGTGCCTGCTGTCTGCGGACGTACTTTTAAAGCCTGCATTAAAACTGCATTTTCGTTAGGGTTATGGAATTAGTTGTCCAATTAAATCAATATTTATTGAGTCAATTGTTTGATGTGATGGGGGATCAGTGACATTAATTTATTTTTTCACATAATTTTTTATACACGTTTTTGTAAGGACCATTTTATAATGTATTTTAACGATTTAAATCATCTATCTTTTAAAATGTCATTCATAAATCATTCTGATAAAACATTAGACAAATCTAAAACCATTATTACATTCATTTGTAGTAAAAAAAAAGGATGAATATGGTTTCATAAAGAAATCCTAAACCCTTAATTCAATGGTCATATTGTTTCAGATTTTAGTGATTTTTTAGTAGATGTGATTTTTGAGGGAAAACCTTAAAGAAAGATGGTTCAAATCGTTGAAATACATTATAAAGTTAGCCCACAAAAATATATTTCAAAAAATTGCGTAAAAAAATAGTGTGACGAGTCCATATCATAATATATAATATACATACACCTATATTTATCAGCTGAACGGCATAGGCTTAGTCTCCATATATAGATAAATCTTTTATTTCCTAATTGGGCAGCAAAAGAAAATAAATACAAGAACTTTCTCTCTTTTGTTTTTGGTCAAAAATTAAAGACAAGAATGGGACAGTGACATGGAGGTTGCAACCGTTTATCAATTGGATGTTTGTCTCTTCATTTACTATTTTATCTCTCCCGATCTTGTGACAGAGGAGGATTTCATACGTCAAGATATGTAGACTTTTTCCACTCACACATTACACCTATCAATTTATCCACATTTTTATCTAAATTTCTTCCCTAAAGAATTGATAGAGTTATAGTGTTAATATCTATTTAAATTTTGTTGAGAAAGAATGAGAGAAGCAAGGACGAAGCTAGAAAATTAATTATGGAGAGACACAATAAAGTAGAGGCAGATGTATGATTCCATCCTCGTTGCATCTTAACAATAGCAAGCATAATCTCAAAAAAATTTCAGTTTTTTCATGATGTATAATCGAGCGCTTAGCCGACTTTTGCCATTGTGTGCTTAGTGCACTTCTTTGCCCTTTAGTGCTCTTTTAATGATGTCTTTAGGTCAATATTTTTATATTCAATAAAACAAAGAGTTAATCATATATAGGTAGGACCATATATAATGCTCATGTGCGTTTTAATTATTAAGCATTATATATGAGCTTAATTATTAGCTGGTAGACTTCCATAACTAACATGATTCCTTGGTTTATTGTTACTTTCCTTCAACCACGTTGCAAGAGGTTTTCTTTGAATAAACGATATCATTTACATTAAAGGGAGGAGGTGAGCTTAGCCTCACTATGAGCTAGTAAAAATGTGGTTCAAATTCACCTTTTTGAGTTCAAATAATTTTCTTCATTGGTGTAAAAAAAAATCCTATCAAAATAAATCTCAATCTCATATGTAAATTAGATTTGTTTTGGTATTTTCCTATCAATATAAATATATAATCGAGTTGGGTTTGGAATGGGGGATTGCAATACCATCACTACTCCATATCTGACTCGGATAATTTCAACAATTTCTGATCAAACCTGCCTCAAATCCGTTCATTGTCCTGCATAACTGCCTCATTAGGATCAGGTATCCGCGGATATTACATTTTTTCCATCCCTACCTGTGATTTAGGATATTACATTTTTTTTATATAAATTTTCCCTTTCATCACAAGTTTAACAAAAAAGATAAAATCATCAGACCTAGTCAAAGAAGTTGACTATTCCTAATAATAGCTCACAAATGTACAATAGTGAATAGTTCACTTCTTTAAAATAAGTCCGATGACTATAATTCCACAATACGAGTAAGCTTATTTGTAGCTATTCCCATCCCCTCTTAATCTCTTTTCCCCTCTATTTTCATCCACTTCTGTCACATTTTGCTCTTTATTTTTTGTTTATTTTTTTTGTCTCTATAAAAAAATCAATATAAGATGTGTCGTGGTTTAATCGTAGCCATTCAAATAGGAGGGAAGAGAATTATCCTTCTGTATTCATTGGTCTTGTCATTGTTATTTCACACTTGATGCACTCTTCCACTACATCCATCCAATTTGTATTTTATGGTTGTGATCTCCATCTAATTCTCTATTATTTTGCAAGATAGAATCAAGATAATGAAAACGTTCATTCTTTGGTACTTCCTGATCCCCAATCTAATTCCCAGTTATTTGCATGTACTAAGGTATTTGAACTAAATTAATTAGAAATGCATTAATGATGGAGGAATTGAAAGGACTATATGCAACATATGCATCGAGATGAATTTGCAAATGACTACCTGGAAAGAGTCCTTTGTAAATCGTCTGTTTATCTCTTTGTAATGATGCCATACTTCGAATTCATTATCTGTAGTTTTGTAGTTCATTTCTAACCAACTTATCTCTTGATACTTGCAAAATTTTCATCCAATAAGCATAGGGTTCAGGATATGCCACCCTATCCGATATCGTAAGCTAAGCTTAGGTTAGAGACACGGGTTTGACTTCAATAATATGTATCATTCAATGATACGGGTGTCGTGACTGCTATATTTGATTTAAAAATATTAAAATAATTTATTCACAATTACAACCATTCATTTTCCATGTCTGTAAATGATAATTGATACGCACATAGCATTAGCAGTCAAAGTCACCTAGCAGTGAGAATCTGCCCTCAACATTTCCCGTTTACTTGGTTTGTATATATGAAGTAATTAACCCTTTTTCTCATAGAATATTGAACTGTAAATTGTAAAACTGAAAATTGAGAAAACCTACTACAATTTGATATTTTAAGAAAATGTCTATAAAATGATTGGAATTCAACTTATATATAGTTGGAATAAAGTGTTTAGGATAAATTCAGAATTGTCTAATAATCACAAATTTGAATACTTTATTCGTCTCCATGAAGAGGTTTTATAAGATTATACGGAGCAATACTAGAAAATAATTAAATCAAATCCTCGTTCACAAGACAAGGAAATTGGACACCAAATTTCTTTTTTCCTTCAGTTATGTTTCTTTCATCCAAACTCTTTTTTTCCTTCTCTTATGGTGATATTCAAAGATTGACATCATTTTGTTCCCCTCTTCAAATTCAAAACCAAACTAAAGCTAGAAAAATAATATGGCAATGCTAGGGAAATTAAATGTATAGACTAAACTTTGTAAACTAAGTGACATGGAAGTTAATGATTGAATTATTACTTAAGTGTTGATTAACGTACTTATTTTATATTATGAACTATCATTCAATTTACAAATTTAATCTACCTAACATTACTCAAAATAATAATAAAGAACCCTTCATGATAGGCGGATGCCTACCATGTACCAAAAACCATTTATTTTCCTTTTCCTCATCTTCCTCCATCATTTTTTTTCATTAATCTTCTGTGACAGCAGCAGAAACTGCTTTACCTTCTTCCTTTTATTTCTAACTATAATAGATAATTTTCACCTTAGGTTCATGACATGTGGGTGGCCGAGAAAATTAGCTTTGTGCACATGCATGCATGCATACATGTTTCTTGAATGTTCTTGCAATTAATATATGTATATAGGGGCGAGATTCAAAAGAGAGGAAACTATAGAAAATTGACAATTGAAAAGGAAAAAAAAAAAACAAGAACAAGGAATATAAATTTATAATGGCAGCATCATCTTCCCTCCCAATGATGGGTAGTCGCTTGGGGAACCGGCGGCTTGCAGCTCTCGCTCTCTGCCTTGTATTGCTCCTCCATATCACTACCACTACTTTGGTATTGTCCTCCAACAAGGGAAAAGGCGGCGGTGCAAAAAAAGGTGGCGCACAAAAAGGTGGTGGTGCACAGAAACGTGGCGGTGCTCAGAAAGGTGGCGATCGAAAAGGTGGTGCACCTGGAACTGCTGGCGGTAAACCCCGTGGTGTCGTACACGTTGGTGATGCAGCACCTGCTGCCGGCGGCAGCTTCCGAGCTCGTGGAAGTGGCGGAGCCATCACATACCATGGAGGGCCTCTGATGACCGGCGACATTAACCTTTCCATCCTATTTTACGGCCAGTTTACAGCCGAACAAAAGAACGTGATTCAGAGTTTCCTGAGGTCCCTCGAGAACACGGAGAACGATCACGTCGCCGCCGTGCACAGGTGGTGGGACGTCATCGAGAGCTACCAATTGTTCACTGGTCCAACCCCTGCTACCGGTACCCCACCTAGACTCCGCATCAAGGTGGGCATCCAGCAGAGCGACGACAAGTACTCGATCGGAAAAGTGTTAACCCTTACATACTTCAAGAATCTGGTGAAGAAGGCCGACTCCGGCAAGCCCAACACTCTTTTCGTGTTCTTCACCGGGAGCCAAGTGACGGTGCACCAATTGTGCCGTGGCAAATGCTATGACCACGGCTTAATTGACAACAAACCATACCTCGTCGTCGGAAACCCCGAAATCTTGTGCCGCGGGGCTTGCGGTTGGCCATTCCAGAGGCTGGACTACGGTACGCCTAATCAAGTGACGGTGAAGCCCCCCAACGGCAACATGGGCATTGACGCCATGCTCGCCCACTTCGCCTCCGGCTTGGCAGCCGTCGTCACCAACCCATTCAACACTGGATTCTTCAAGCCGGGACCCAAGAGCGACCCCATCGAGGCCGGCACCGCCTGCGACAACATCTTCGGAAGCGGTGCGGTCCCAGGCAAGACCGGCAAGGTATTGGTCGACCCCGCTACCGGTGGGTCCTATAATGCTGTCGGAGAGAAGGGCATGAAGTTCATGCTCCCCGCCGTCTGGAACCCACGAACTTCCTCCTGCTGGACGGCCATGTAATGTAAATTATCTCAGCACCCACACGAAAGTTCTCAAATCAAATCTTTGTCCACAAGAGAAGAAAACCTAAAACAAGTTAAATCAAATTAAATCCCTAATTAAATCTATACCTCAAAATAAATTTTCAAATTAAATAAATCTTTAAAATACTTTCCGTTTATATCTCAACATATATAAACGTCCACTACTAGTAAATGATCCCAACTCCAACTAGTTGAACTTTTTGTGAGCTAACTTATCGTATGTTTCTCCGGCATGTTTTCTGTGTGTAAGAAAGCAACGCGCGTGAGTAGCAAAGGGTTTTATGCGTAATGAATATTAACGGGTAATGCTAGGAGATTAAATTTGCAAACAAAATTTTGTAAATTAAATGACATAAAAATTGATGATTGAATTATTAATCAAGCATTGATAAACGTGCTCATTTTTTATAGTTATATATAGTTTGTTTGGTATTGACTTGTAGGAGCTAGCTAGGATAGGATGAATAGAGATCATAACCATTTTAAAGAGCATGCGCCTTGTACAAATTTTCTTCATAACCTCTTAAAGCTTGAAAAACTCTGACTTTGAGTCCCTACACGTAACATATCCCTTTCTTCCTTCTCACGCGATCGAAGAGAAAGACTGAGGGAGCGTGAACTCATAAATGACTGTGTTTATATATACCTAACGCTTAAAACAAGTAATAGAAAGTCAAGGCATAAATGGTAATTAAGTCTCCAACCATCGAACCGTTGTATAATTTAGCAAAATCCAATGCATATATCAACTGGCGACAGCTACAAACTATCGCGTTTATTAGGGTTTGCTTTCAGCTTCATCCGTTTAATCGACAAAGTAATAATTTAAAATTCAAGGCCTGGTTGATTGCAAGAGGCCAAATATAATGAGGAGCAAGGTTCAGCTATAGGTTACATTACAACTACATTTTAGTTATGTAATTAAATTAGGATTTTCTGAACAACTACTTAAGTGTGGACTTATAGCTCCAATGGTATAGCACTTTTACTCTCGCAGTCACAATAAGAACTCATCAACTTCCATTAGTTTTTTTCGTGAATCCATGGTATTTTACTAATTCGGCTAGTTGTTCCTTAGCTTATTTGATTTAAGCACTGCACCCACACGAATTGCAAAGAGGTTTAGGCTTAATGGTAATCAATATAGTTTTGTTCCTTGTTCAAATCCAACAATATATAATCATCATTAGCACTACAATTTAATGAAATTTTTCTCTATTTATGAGTAGAATGCCTCGGCTTCAACTCACATGGATGACAAATACGATAATTTTGGTTGACGCATTGTATACTCCAAACCATCATTCCTATAATATAATACATTGACTTTTTGGTAGTGACTTGTAGAACCTGACGTGAGTGGATCACAATGAATGACACATTGTACAAATTTTCTTCTTGGGATGCGTTTGTTGAGTCAGACTATTTCGAACTGGATTAATTTTAGGGACAAAACTTGACCGGCTTAGACTAGACTAAGTTAGACTAACTTAGTGAAGCGTTTGATGTAGTATCGGACTAAGAACTAAAAACAATAACAAATTCTAATGTTATATTATTTAATTCACTATAATTATTATTTTATATTATTAACTCAGGTTTATTATTATTTTATTCTTACTTTTGTCTATATTTTTCCTCTCTAGAAACCTCTATAATGCTTTCCTTTTTCTTTTCTGTTCATTTCCCTCACCCTTTATAAGTTTCTCCATCCCTAATCCCTCTTTTCTTTGTTTTTCTTTGTCCCTCTCTCTTTTCATCTCCACCTTTTTCTTCCTATTTTTCTCTGTTCATCTCCCTTGTTTCTTTTTTTAATTTTTCTAAGACGCAATTGGCAAATCATAACCTATATAAGAGTTTGAGTCATATGGGTTCTCATCGTTCTGCTTCTTCAGCGTCAATGACGAAGGTCTGCGATTAGGGAGTCTGGAGTGCATGTGTAATTAGAATGGCTCTTGTGCATGTGTGAACGGACGACTGCTGTGCGTTTCATACGCATAGCGATTTTGTTTTTTTGTTTTTGTATCGAATTTTGGGTTTAGATCTGGTTTTGAGAATGGAAAGAGTGCATAATTTTTTTTCCTTTTTTGTTTTCAAATTTTGAAGGATTTAGGTTTGAAAATAGTATATGAGAGGGGCGAAGCAGTGCAGAGTTGGTAAATGGGATATGGGTTTCAAATTCTGCGAGGAACAAGTAGGAAGAGGAGGGGGCGAAGCAAGGAGTTGGTCTTAGCAATCCGGTCGATTTCGCGGGGGGGGGGGGGGGTCTCACTAAGACCCTCTAGCGAAGCCGTTAGTCTTGGTTAGTCGGGGTGAGTCTTATTAAAGCTTGTCCCTGCATGGAACAAATAAGGCATTGCATTCCACTTAATCTAAACCAGTCTAGTAAATGTTAGCGAGTGCAAACAAACGCACCCTTGAGGTCTTAAAACCTTTGTACAACTTGAGTAGAGAGCTGAAGCCCTAGTCAATACATAAATGCCAAGTTCCTAACCAAACAATTTTCTCATAAATATATGTTTTACCAAAGTGCCTAGTCCAACACAAATCAACTGGCTTATTACAAAACTAACAAAACTCAACAGTCACCAGCAGCCAGTAGAAAAATCCCCAAAATTAAAATAATATAACTTATTATTAAAGTAAGATATATAATACCCTAGTTGACGGTAAGTGATAATGTATGTTCAGTTATGGATCACCAGCATTTTCATTATTTGTTTGAGGACTCTAATTGAGTTATAAGAACATTGCAATAAGGTTAATACAACATGTATTTAAGTTTGTTCGTGCTGAGGGAAACACTTATATATAATTTTAGCAGTATATCACTTTGTTCATACTTGTTCAACTCACATCCTCCTTGTCCTTTCCTGAATCGAAAAAGTTTGCTCATGCTAAATTTATCATGAGTACGTGACTTATTATCTAAATCAATATTATGGTACGTAGCAAAATTCCGTCATATTCAGTCTTAACAAAATTGTACCTAAAAACACATATTTGATCAAAGACCAAAGTCATGCATCCAAGGAGTGGGGGAAGTTTTGGCCAATGGATCTACGATGTCTAAGTCAGTTTCTCTAAAAATAGAGAGATTTTAGTGCTTAGTCGCGTAACAAATTGCTTCAACTTACTTGCGAAGTATGGAAAATGAGTATTTAATTATAAGGAGGTGTAGCCGACCACATGTGTAGGGATTGATATACCATGTGTCGGCATCTAGCTAGCCAGAGTGTGATATCCATTGGATGCAACAGGAAAGTATCTTTAAGATGCTGAGATATCTTAAAGATGCTTGAGAATAACCTATCTGGATATTATTAAATTAATAATATTTAAAAATTATTTTTGTAGAATCCTCTATTGGATGCGACGATGCTTCCTTGAATAAATGAATAAGTCTTTGATGAGGAAAGAATTAGTTATTAATTATACCCTTAATTCTCTTGTTTTATGGCCTTGCCATGGGTAGTGGAGTAAGAGAAATTTTAGTCAGCAACTCAGGTCTCATTGATTCAACTGCGTGTCAAACGTATGTAGGCCTCGCCAAATTAATGAAGAGTTTTCTCGTCAATTGTGAATAAAAGTCCACACATCAGCTTGAGAATTTTTCAAATTATTTTTTGTTCCACAAATATTGTAGAAAAAAATTCTGCTTTTGTAGAAATTAATTTTTCTTGGTTATTGTTCTTCCAACCAATTTCTATGGAAATTTAGCTAGTTGTATGCAATCTATATTATCTTTTCTTTCTTCTAAACCATATTAAAAATATTTTTCTTTTTCTTTCGAGCTACCCCTGATCTCTCTTAAATGCGGGCAGGCTACTGACTGTGAACTGTAATACCGTGCCATTTTAAAAATATTAAAAAATTTTGAAGCCTTTGGTCATGCCCAAAATTATAAGGTTTAAAGAATTAAATACAATGTCTTGCAACTAGTAGTTCTTTTATATGGAGACCTTGCAAGGTTTATGCATGGTACGTTTGCAATTTTGCTCATTAGAGGAAGTTACACAAAAAGTCTAAAACCCTGCGATCTCCAATATATATTTACTTTTCCATGCTTAATATGTGACTTAAGCAATAAAGTTTGATATCGAAAGGAAATGATAAACACAAATATTTTTCTCCTTCGACATACCTCTCTTTATTTTTCCGTGGCCATCAAATTGAAAAATCAAGCTAGAACAATAGACAAAATTAAGCTGTATGGTATCATTTCCTTGTCAAAAAGCTTAAGCCACACACATCAGTTTGGTGGGGGTTGAGAAGTTGCAAATGGGAGTCTTTAGCATCTTCACATGTAGTGTGCCTCCTCCTCCTCTCTCTTCTTATAAGACTCCCATTTCAAGCTCACATTTCCATCCACATCTATCTATCTCTCTCTTTCCCCATTTTGTAATGGAGCTTCTTGCTTTAGTCTGTGTTTTTTCAGCCTTGTTCTTCATTTTTATGATGTGGAAGCTTTTTGTTGAGAGGAGAGACCACGAGTGCTACATTTTGGACTACCAGTGCTACAAGCCCACAGATGACAGAAAGCTAGACACTGAGTACTCAGGTGAGATTATCAAGAGGACCAAGAATCTTGGTCTTTTGGAATACCAGTTCCTCCTTAAGGCAATTGTGAGCTCAGGGATTGGTGAGCAAACTTATGCTCCAAGAATCATGTTCTCAGGCAGGGAATCATGTCCCACATTGGAAGACAGCATCTCGGAGATGGAGGAGTTCTTCCATGACAGCATCAAGAAACTCCTTGACAGATCAGGGATTTCACCTTCAGAAATTGATGTGCTTGTTGTGAATGTCTCCATGTTTGCATCTGTTCCATCGTTGTCCTCCAGGATTATAAACCACTACAAGATGAGGGAGGACATAAAGGTCTTTAACCTCAGTGGGATGGGCTGCTCAGCATCCCTAATCTCAGTTGACATAGTGAAAAACATTTTCAAGTCACGCAAAAATGTTTATGCACTT